AATATATTTTATTGAGATAATAATAATAATAATAATAATATAGGCGACACCCCGAAAGTAATACCTCCTATTAATTCTATGGAAGCTCTAACGGGAGGAGAAGACAAAAACACGCTTGCTGGATAGTGCATGTTTTCTGACGAAAAATGTTGTTTTCAATATTGCGATTAACAAGGGTCTGCATGCTGCGTTCGTAAATAACTCCCCTAGGATAAGCAATTATCGCAATTGCTGAAATGCACATGCATTTCCCTAACTGTGTGCTCACATCTAGTGTTTGGTCTCCGTAAATGATCATTAAGCATCGATGAATGCCAACGAGTGCAATTGTTTTGGATGGAGAGATTCATTTACACTTTTTCTTCTCACCATCATGTGAAGCTGCCTTTCAGCTGCAATCTGTAGGAAGGTAGAAAACGTTGGTATTAGGGTACGGCTTATTCAATGATTTCCTGGTCAGCGCGAAGGCTCTCCACAGCAGTGACGTCACGGCGCTGTCGCAACGTAAAAATTTCTGGATTTATCTGCACTACACTGTATACACTCATGCAACGACTGCGGCACCTCCAGACGCATTGCTGCTTAAACTAAACTGCCGTTGTTCAGATGAAGAAAGGAGTTGGATATTGTTCGGTAGCTATCTCTAAATGTTTGGTTTATTTACGGTATTTAAGAAAATTTATATTCACTAGGAGCATTTTTTTTTGCTGTCAGGTTTGACTTACTTTCAAAAAAATACTGGGAAAGGTATTTTTGTATCTGAAAGGTTCTTGACAAGTGTAATTTATTTAATTAACTATTTTCAGTGAGAAGAAAGATAAGAATTGAGAATTTCTTTTCAGTTGCTGTCATTCTAACTTTGCAAGGAAAAAGAAGAAGAAGAAGAAGAAGAATGAAAGAAAGAAAAGAAAAGATAAAATAATAAAAGAACAATGAGTAGGTGGAAAGAAACTGACAAGTTGGAAAAGAAAGAAAGAAAGAAAGAAAGAAGAGAGAGGCTATCAATGAAGAAAGAAAGAAAGAAAGAAAGAAAGAAGAAAAGAGAAGGTGGAGAAGAAAGAAAAGAAAAGAAAGAAAGAAAGAAAGAGAGACTGAAGAGGGAACAAAAGAAGAAATGAAGAAAGAAAGAAAAAAGAAAGGAAGAAAGAGAGAAAAGAAATCAATCAAGAAAGAAAAAAAAAAGAAGAAAGAAGAGCCTATCAAAAAAGAAAGAAAGAAAAAGAAAAAAAAAAAAAAAAGAGTGAGAAGATCAATAAAGAAAAGAAAGAAAGAAAGAAAAGAAAAGAGAAGAGGAAAGAGATCAATGAAGAAAGAAAAGAAAGAAAGAAAAGAAAAAGAAGAGAGAGAAATCAATCAATCAAAAAGAAAGAAAAGAAAGAAAGAAAAGAAAAAGAGAGAAGATCAATGAAGAAAGAAAGAAAAAAATCCAAAGAAAGAAGCTTTTTTAAAAAAGAAAGAAAAGAAAGAAAGAAAGAAAAAGATGACTGAAGAGGGAACATTATCAATGAAGAAAGAAGAAAAGAAAGAGAGACTGAAGAGAGAGGAAATGAAATCAATCAATCAAGAAAGAAAGAAAAGAAAAGAAAGAAAGAAATTAAAAAGAAGAGAGGCCTATCAATCAAAAAGAAAGAAAGAAAGGAAAGAAACTGAAGAGGGAGGAAATAAGAAAATGAAGAAAGAAAAAGAAAGAAGAAAGAAAGAAAGAAAGAATCCGAGAGGAGCCTATCAATAAAGAAAGAAAGAAAGTGCCAAAAGAAAGAAAGAAGACTGAAGAGGGAAGCTTTATCAATGAAGAAAAAAAAAAAAAAGAAAAAAAAGAAAGAAAGAAGAAGATCCTATCAATCAAAAAGAAAAAGTAAGAAAGAAAAAAGAGAGAGGCTAATAAGAGAAGAAAGAAAAGAAAATGAAAGAAGAGAGGGCCGATCAGACCAAGAAAGAAAGAAAAAGAAAGAAAGAAAGAGAAAAGAAGGGGAGGCTAAATGAGAATTAAAAGTAAGAAAGAAAAAAAAAAAAGAAAGAAAGAGGGCTGAAACACACAAAGATGGAAGGGAAATATTGAAAGTGAATAAATAGATAATGAAACAAGAAAGAAAGAAAGAAAATGAAAAAGAATGAGGGAAGGAGGATAAAATAAAGAAAGAAAGAAAGCTCGAAACACAAAAGGGAAGAGGGAAACTATCAGTAAATAAAATAACAAACAGAAAGAAAACAAAAGTTTTAAGAAAGAAAAAAGAAAGAAAAAAAAAAAAGAAATTTCTGAACAACAAAAGATGGGAGCGAAAAGATTATCAGTGAATAAATAAATAGCGAAACAATCATTAAGAAAGAAAGAAACAAAGAACGAACGAAAGAAAGATAGAAAGAAAGTGTGAGACTATCAATGAATAAATAAAGAAAGAAAAACCGAACACACAATGATGCGAAGGAAAGGGTATAAGTAAATAAATAGCGGAACAGATACTAAGAAAGTAAAAACGAAAGAAAGAAAGAAAGAAAGAAAGAAAGAAAGAAAGAAAGAAAAGGGAAGAAAGAAAAGAAAAGGAAAGAAAGATAGAAAAACAAATAAAAAGATAGAATATAGATGCTATCAATGAATAAAAATTCAAAGAAAGAAACTAAGGAATGAAAAATGAAGGAATTTACAAAAAGAAACTCAATTTAAAGGACGTAAAAACATTAAATACTTAAAGGGAATGAAAATAAACTGGATGAATGAAAAAGAAATAGTCTGAAATTAGAACTGAAGTAAAGAAAGAAGGAAAAAACAAAGGAACGAAGCTAAGGAAGGAAATATGAAGTTATGATCGAATGAAAGACGATTAAAAAGAAATAGAGAAAAATAACATTGAATGAGTAACTAAAAGGAAAGAAAATGGGAAATGAAAGATGCATTTGAAAAAAAAAAGAGAAGGAAATTGGTAATTCAAAATTCCAAAACGAAAGAGAATGAAAAAGAAGTACAAATAATTAAAAAGTTTGATGGATGGGAAAAACTTATCAAAGGAAGACTTACATTGTTTAGATTTAAAAAAAAAATTCACGTAAAATAGCAAATAATTTAATTAGATTGTGTTATTACTTATCAAGCAGTTGATAGAGGAGCTTATTGTCACTGTCTATAGATTAGTTTGACATCTTCTCCTGGGTAAGGGGACTTATCTCTAAACTTCTTCATTACAGTTAAACAGAAGGCCAGTGACACGGCATCTACCACCAATATGACTGCCACAAATAAGAATATATCTGATTGGAGGAAAAGTTCGCGCGGTTTTTTAGAACATTACATTTATTTAGAAACAGCAGGAACCTCCTTTCAAAACAGATATAATGACGGAAAAAGGAGAACTGCTTATAATACAAACGTAAATAGTATTCTATAAAATTTTCTTCGATTTGTGAGTTTGAAAATTATAGCTAAGTTTCTCCCTGTCTCTAACCGAATATTAAATTGGAAAAAAAAAACCCTTAAGAATACAGAATTAATAAAATAATCATGAGACGGGAATCTGCTAAGTATGCAAGTTGTTTGTTTTTTATTTTTAATCATTTCATCTCAAAGCAAGGCAATAAAGCCACTAAGACGCAAAAGATTACTGAGTGTGAGAGAATATGCGGAAAAGAAAACATTATTAAGGAGAGATAACAATAAAAGAATAGGAATCGCTTTTTTTAATCATTTCACCCCAAGCAAGGCAATAAAGCCACTAAGATAAAGGGGGTGAGAGTGATTTTGGAGAGAAAAAAAAAAGAAGCATTAAGAAGAGGGAACAAAGGATAGAACAAGAATTATTTTTAATCATTTCAGCCCAAACAAGGCAATGAAATTACTAAGATGCAAGGGGTTACTGAGTGTGACCATATTAGAAAGGTAAAAACATTTCGGACTGAACGAGAGAACAGTAAAAGAACAGCGATTAAGAAGACGTGCCATGACAATTGACATTGCATTTAAATTTTTAAAGATCAAAATTTTTGGAAAGTTAAAAGATGATAGAGAATTCCAAAAATTCACAAAAATTTGGGAGAATAAAAGGATTAACATAAAGCTTACTTTATATATAACCATTTAACAAAAAAAAACGATGTGGCTGATACGTCAATCTGTTAATGCGCTTAAAATATATTAAATTTAAGGCTCTTTATAACACCGTCATATTAAATTTAAAACTCTTTATAACAACGTCATGTTAAATATAAACCTCTTTATAACATCATGCTTAATTTAAGGTTCTTTATGACATCGTTATATTAAATATAAGACTCTTTATAACATCATAATGTTAAATTTAAGGCTTATCATAACATCATTATATTAAATTTAATGTTCTTTGTAATATCGTTATATTAAATTAAAATGTGTGTGTATGTCTCTGTATGTTGTAATTATAATAATTTTGATATAGAATTCCATTGTGAAAATGATTATGGCAATACACTGAAAATCAGCAATAAAGAATTTTCACTGGTCAGGGATTAATCCAAACATTATTGATTGATTATGGACACTCAGTACATAATGCGAACGTATAAATATTTACTAAAGTTACATTTGGAGGGGCATTTTTTTTTTTTAACAATACAACCTCTTCTCAAAAGTACGAAGCGATCTTCATTTGAGATTTAATATGTTGGACACAATGAGTTACAAAAATAAATGTAAAAATCAAGCGAATATCTGTATACCTTATCTTTCCAGGATGTGTTCGTTCATGAATCTCCATGATTTCATATCATCTGCATAGCTTTTTCAAAAAAAAAGGTTTTTGAGGAAAGGATTAATCAACTATAAGATCATATTGTGGCACTAATGAGGCAATAGAAAATTATTTGGACAATTAAGATGATTAGCGACTGAAATTAAAAACTTAAAAACATAAAGCTAAATAAATAGGGTCATTTCAGGGTTTTTCAAACCATGGGTCCCGACCATTCAGTGGGTCGCGAGATGAATAAAAATGGGTCGCAGCAAAAAAAAAAAAAAAGAAAAAAGAAAAAATACGCAAGAGAGAGCAAAGTGCAGAATATAAACAACTCTAAACGTTTTTCAAAATTCAATCTAATTTATCGCTAGTTTATCACTGAGGTAAGGCAAGTATATCTATCTAAATATATATATATATATATATATATATATATATATATATATATAAAGTTTTACACTGGAATAAAAAATTTCTTATCCAATAACACTCTATTAAAAGAGTTCAGTATTAAAATGCATTAAAATATCCATTTATCTGAAAAAACAATTTTCAATTTATCTCTTTCATGCCCCATTTATTTTATTAAACAGTAAGAATACTTATTTATTTTCGTCTACCGGCCTCAGTATTCGAGAAATCTTATTAAAGAAAATTAGACGTTCTCTGGCAGGTTTCGAATCAGCGTGAAGAGGGAACCGTCGTTAACCGACTCGGCAACGAAGAACCTTTGCTTTAAGCGAATATATATAAAAACAATATTTTAATGTTGAAATCACCTTCAATGTTTTATAACTGTCAGTAACCCAACGGGACATGGGTAGTGTAGAACTTTGTTTGTTTGCTTGCTTGTGTGTTTGCCACCGCCCAAATGACCATTATATATTTCAGGGGGAATGAAAATGATAAAAAATCATTTTTTTATACGATTATGGAAGGGAAAAGAAGGAAAAATGAAATATATTTGTAAAAGACAAAAAGGGGTTCGTCTAAGATGGTAATCTAATTTAACATCCGGATTGTGGACATAAATTAGGTGCATCCACATTTTCGGCATAAATTTTCAATACATACGGTTTAAAATGAATTTTTAAAAATAGAAAAAAACATTCTTGAAGATTTCATTTTACCTTTAATTGAAAGTTAAAGTATCAAATTTGTTATTTCCAGTAAGAAAAACATTCTGGTGTATTTCAGATAGAAATTATATAAATTGGAATTTCAAATTTAATTTCGATTTCTTAAAATTTTTCTTAAAAGCGGCCATTTTCTTAATTTTAAGAAATTTTAAACAAAACAAATTTATCGATTTTAAAAATTTTCCAAATATATATATATATATATATATATATATATATATATATATATATATTTCTGAACGTTATTTGAGTAAAATTTTAAAAAAATTTAAAGTTAAATTAATCTGATTTGGAATAAATATTACTTACTTATAGCATAAAAATGAATATAAAACCATTTATTAATAATTTGTCCTGTTTATCTGAGGCGATGATTGATGGACGATTGAGTAATGAAGCGATGACAGCTAGTTATGGGTGACCAGAATTGACATAAAAACCAAAGAAAAAAATGCATTCACTTTGATTTCGTAATTCTAACTACCTAGTAATTTTTATAAATGAACATATTTTCCTCAATTATCTAATAATTTATTGACTTTTACTTACCTTTCGAAGATTTTTTTATGCAAAAAAATAAAAAAATAAAAATAAAATTAATTTCTCTGTAAAGAGACAAAACTCTTAGAGAAAGTATATAGTTTTCATTGTTGTGAAAGACAAAAATTGTTGTGGTTTTCCGAAGATTACCATTTTTATATGTGGAGTCATGAACGCTGTCCCGATGACTGGTTGACGGACACCGTTTTTTACAGCATACCTAGTTACCTCTCCTTAAAAATGGTGTCTGTCAACTAACCATGACACAGTGTTCCTGACTCCACATATAAAAATGGTAATTTTCGCATGAACACAACAATTTTTGTCCTTCACAACCATGAACATTACTTACTCTATTATTAACAATACACTGATGATGACATTATTCTATGTCGAAAGTACTCGGAAATAAATACAATATGAGCCAACAAGGTGTTTTCGTCTCGTCTGTTAACAACCACATAAAAAAAGCTTATTCGCGAATATAAAAGGATCCTATCGAAAATAAGTAGACAGAACACGTCTAAATTATTTAACGAAACCTGTCTGAATATATATATATATATATATATATATATATATATATATATGAAATTTTCTCAGAGTTAACCTGTAGAAAAAACAATATTTATAAATATAAATGACAATATCAAAAACTTTTTTTGCTGACGCGTTTCGTCAAAAATCAACTTTAATCAAAAGCAAAAACAGAAATGAATTGTAAAAAGTAAAAATCATGGAAAAAACAGAATGTTTTTACAACTCCAGGAATTGAAAAATAAAATCACATTCTAGCGTTATTCAATTTTTTTCAGAAAATAAACCCATTTTGTTTTTTGCTTTGAGAAAGTCCCTTTTTTGACGAATTGCGTTCTTTTTATGAATAGCTACAGTTTTTTTAATATTTATTTATATTTTTAAATATATATATATAGTGTGTGTGTGTGTTTGTTTGTTTTCTAATATATAATTATCCATGAGATTCTCCATAAATAATTAATAAAAACATTAAGATATACAGAAAAAAAAAACTTTTCCTAATTATCTTCCCAGTTAGGCAATTGCTTCCCCGAACAATGTCAACTTGGATTTCATCCTGAAAGTAACAGAAGCAACAGAATTTAAAAGGTGCTAAGAGGTTAGGGGTTCGGATCGCCCATTATGTCCCGGGCCAGGTGCGTAGACACGAGCCTTTGACAACCGGGCGTTCGCAAAGTCATATTCTGTTGGTTTGCAGGAAAGAATTATTCTCCTGAGTTCTTTTCTGTCTTGCATAGGGCGAGGTCGAGACTCCATTTAGACATCTTGGAGTCTATTATTATTATTAACATGCAACGTCCTGCCTTGTGTAGACAACGGGGGGTGGGGGTTGAAATACAAGTTGGCCCTGTTCGAGGAAGCATTTGCCTAACTGGGACGATAATTAGAAAAAGTTGTTTTTTTTTTCTTCCCCCCCCTTTCCTCCAATTGCCTACTTTTGATGGTAATTTATTCTTAGTTCCAGTCGTTGATAAAAACTTTTTCTTATCAGCTGCTTCGTTTAATTGCCGACGATTTAATTTCTGAAGAAGTGTCGGTTAAAAGGCGCCTAAAATCTTATTTTCAAATCGTGATACTTTTTTTTATCTATTTTAACAATATATATATATATATATTTAAAAATATGATTCCAACTCGCGACATAAGAGGTCTCATGTTTCAAAACAAGAGCCGACAACTTCAATATAATTATTTGAATTAAATTGAGTTAAAATAAGCTCTGTTCCATCTTCAAGCGAAATTTTTTTTTGAATAACTTATTTCTGAAATTTACGTGTTTTAATAATTGAAATCAAAATTTCCATGGTAACAGCTAGGGCGAATTGTTTAAATTGGGTAGGCGTGTGTTGGGTGTTAATAATAAGTATCAGTATAGAGTTACTTTCATAGATGTCAAGTCAGGGTAAGGTGGGGGTGTCTAAATTTGAAACGGAAGATGTTTTAGCCTAGTCTGGTTTACGTGTCTATGGAGATTTATTTATTTTTTTATTTTATTTCTTTATGAAAAGGATTTGTGCATATAAAAAAACTGCCGTAACGTTTGTTTTTTGACGACTTCATAAAGGGTTATCTTTTGTAGGGTATTTAAACTATTTATTTTGGCTATGGATTATAAAAGTTATATTGTATGCTTGTTTTTAGCTAATTATTCAAACCGTAAATTTGATGATGACGACAGAAAACCGTTAACTCATGTCTATTGTTTAATAGATTATTATTATTTAGAAAATAATATGCAGCTTCTCATGGAGGCACAAAGGGCATGGGTCATCCCAAGTTTTACATGTTCTAGTCCTGTTTATAATTTTCCATTTTACTTTAGGTGTCCTATTTATTTCCTTCAGATGCCAAAAATATCTGTGCGTGACCTGAAAAAATTATTTTCAGTTGAGCTCTCGGATGAGAAAGTGTGAGTTTGTAAACAGTGACTATTACGGCTAATAATGCAAGACTATTCGGTAAAGCGAATCGAGTTCTCTCAGTCACTGTGTGTTAACGTTTTCTAAATTCTTTCAGTTGCTAAGAAGATTTTGTTTTGTTATTATTAGTTACTTTGTTTTAATAAATTCATTTCATTTTTGCCTTGAAAAAATCCACATTGGACGGAACGCGTCAGCTAATATTACAGTTTTCCTATTGTGTTGTTATATATATATATATATATATATATAACAACCATATAAACGGCAACAAGTTATTGTAATTAAAAGTGAATATGTAATCGAAAAAAATGCAGTTATACATTGTTTTTTAAGAAGATGGAAAATAATGAGTGTTTTTCTATTCTACTATCCTTTTCTGACAAGGAAAACGTTGCAAACGTCTCTCTTCTGTGTCGCTTTTTCCATGGAATATGTTCTGACGAGTTACATTCACCCGTCCTGGGTATGACGATAAATTACATCCGCGTCCTTGGTAAAACGACAAACTACATCCGACAGCAAGGCTTCTGTTCAGGTTTCGAGGAGCGTAGAACCACCCCTTAATTGGTGGTGTTTCCTGATTCACCCTAACCCGGGGTGGTAGCACCTGCCAGGGTCCCAGCTATGGGCAAATAGTTACTCCCTCCATAAAAAAGTGGGTCAAACCACTATGAATGTGTAAAAATAGGTTTTTATAACAGCAATACGTTTTTGAAAAAAATATATTATCAGAAATACATTTTTGGAAAAAAATATTACCAGCAATATATTTTTGGAAAAAAATATTTCCAGAAATACTTTTTGGAAAAAAAAAAATATCACCAACAATAAAAAATCTTATCGGCATTAAATAACCCATTGTGGTTGACAATGCTCTAAA